CTTTCTAACTATGCAACAAGAGCCGTTACAAATTCACCCAAGCTAGTCGTTAACTTTCCCATGAGAACGATGTTGCTACTCCGAGTGAAATTGATGATTATCTGTTCAGAACACGTTATACCATACATCATTTGATAGATAAAAACCTTGACTTTCTACTGGTTATAGATAATATACAAGAGAGAACTATCAACAAATTGTGAAAGAGAGGATGTGACAGGTGGGTGTGGCAGGAGGGATTTGATTTTCTATTTGATAGCTCTGTAACCATACAAAATTGAAGGCTATTAAAATTATGGTCATTATCCAATAGCTTACTAGTTAACACACCATTATCCAATGGCTTACCAGATAACACATCATTATCCAATAGTTTACTAAATAACACATCATTACCGAACAGCTTACTAGCTAACCTACCATTATCGAACAGCTTACTAGCTAACACATCATTATCCAATAGCTTACTAGATAACACACCATTATCGAACATTTTATTAGCTAACACACCATTATCGAACAGTTTATTAGCTAACACACCACTATCCAACAGCTTACTAGCTAACACATTATTATCCAATAGCTTACTAGATAACACACCATTATCGAACATTTTATTAGCTAACACACCATTATCGAACAGTTTATTAGCTAACACACCATTATCGAACAGTTTATTAGCTAACACACCACTATCAAACAGTGGTGTGTTAGCTAGTAAGCTATCCAACAGCTTACTAGCTAACACACCACTATCAAACAGCTTACTAGCTAACACACCACTATCAAACAGCTTACTAGCTAACACACCACTATCAAACAGCTTACTAGCTAACACACCTCTATCAAACAGCTTACTAGCTAATATACCACTATCGAACAGCTTACTAGCTAATATACCACTATCCAAGCTTACTAGCTAACACACCACTATCAAACAGCTTACTAGCTAACACACCTCTATCAAACAGCTTACTAGCTAATATACCACTATCGAACAGCTTACTAGCTAATATACCACTATCGAACAGATTACTAGCTAACATACCGCTATGGAACAGCTAACTAGCTAACATACCGCTATCGAACAGTTATGTTTCTTAAACTACCTACCTACATCTGTCAAAGTACTTATGAATTTTCGAAAATATTTGTCCACTAGTTTTATTGTTGGAATGAAATATAGCAAGACTTGCATTGCCTACTAAGAAAGTTAGTAGCCGGTAGTCATCGGGTTAAAGAGAACATAGCTAATGTTAAGCATGAGACTTAAAACTGTTGGCATTCAGTTTACATATATATTGGACTCACGGTTTGGAGTTTTGGAATTTGTATTTGCTACTGTTTTTTATATACACTGTAAAATACAATTATGGAAAAGGTTTTCATTACAACATTTCTAGCCATGTAGACTCTGGATTTGAAATTACACATTTAACATTCTGTTACTTCACCTGCTGTTCCCAGTTCCCTGTCATGTAGTCCTGTGATAATGATGCTCTGTTTTGTTTGAAGTATTCATCCTTTGTTTATGTATAATTGACAGGCCTGCCCAGCTTTATTTATAACTACATGTGGTACCCACTCTGCCTTGTTACACAATATGATAAGCTCAAATATTATAAACAATGTCAGCAGACATTCCTTGAAAAAAGTGTTTTATGTTAACTAAGTGCTGCATTTGACTTCTAAAACGTGATTATGGCTGTATTCTCACATTTACACTGCTTGAACATAAGATAGTTCACAACAAAGAAATATTCTTACACTTAAAATTTGAGTAGTAGTGTTTTTATCTGAACCTATGAATAACTTATGGTGCAGTTTGATAATTAATTTTCTTAAGCTTGCCAAGAGTTAGTTATTTAAGTTATATGTGAGTGTGTGTGTGTGTGGATATATAGATAGATATAATGTAGATGCTCTGTGATTTTGTTATACAAGTAGAGGATTGTTATCATTTGATAGAACTGTGATCTCTCTGGGAGTGACCTACATGAGGCTAACCTTCGAGGAGCCAATCTGAAAGATGCAGCTTTTGAATTGATGCTGACTCCTCTTCATATGTCTCAAGCTATTCGATAATGGTATGTGAGCTAGTAAGCTATTGGATAATGATATGTTAGCTAGTAAGCTATTCAATAATAGTATGTTAACCAGTAAGCTATTCGATAATGGTATGTTAGCCAGTAAGCTATTCGAAAATAGCATGTTAACGAGAAAGCTATTCGATAATAGCATGTTAACGAGAAAGCTATTCCATAATGGTATGTTAGCTAGAAAGCTGTTAGATAGCGATATGTTAGCTAGTAAGCTGTTCAATAATGGTATGTTAGCTAGTAAACTGTTCGATAGCGGTATGTAAGCTAGTAAACTGTTCTATAATTATATGTTAGCTAGTAAGCTATTCGATAATAGTATGTTAGCCAGTAAGCTATTCGATAATAGCATGTAAACGAGAATGCTATTCCATAATGGTATGTTAGCTAGTAAGCTGTTTGATAGTGGTATATTAGCTAGTAAGCTGTTTGATAGAGGTGTGTTAGCTAGTAAGCTGTTTGATAGTGGTGTGTTAGCTAGTAAGCTGTTTGATAGTGGTGTGTTAGCTAGTAAGCTGTTGGATAGTGATGTGTTAGCTAGTAAGCTGTTGGATAGTGGTGTGTTAGCTAGTAAGCTGTTTGATAGTGGTGTGTTAGCTAATAAACTGTTCAGTAATGGTATGTTAGCTAATAAACTGTTCAGTAATGGTATGTTAGCTAGTAAGCTATTCGATAATAGTATGTTAATGAGAAAGCTATTCCATAATGGTATATTAGCTAGTAAGCTGTTTGATAGTGGTGTGTTAGCTAGTAAGCTGTTGGATAGTGGTGTGTTAGCTAGTAAGCTGTTCGATAGCGGTATGTTAGCTGGTAAACTGTTCGATAGTGGTATGTTAGCTAGTAAGCTGTTCCATAGCAGTATGTTAGCCAGTAAGCTATTCGATAATGGTATGTTAGCCAGTAAGCTATTCGATAATAGCATGTTAGCGAGAAAGCTATTCCATAATGGTATGTTAGCTAGTAAACTGTTCAATAATGGTATGTTAGATAGTAAGCTGTTCAATAGCAGTATGTAAGCTAGTAAACTGTTCGATAATTATATGTTAGCTAGTAAGCTATTCGATAATAGTATGCGAGCGAGAAAGCTATTCCATAGCGGTATGTTAGCTAGTAAACTGTTTGATAGCGGTATGTTAGCTAGTAAGCTGTTTGATAGCAGTATGTTAGCTAGTTAGCTGTTCCATAGCGGTATGTTAGCTAGTTAGCTGTTCCATAGCGGTATGTTAGCTAGTAAGCTGTTTGATAGCAGTATGTTAGCTAGTTAGCTGTTCCATAGCGGTATGTTAGCTGTTCCATAGCGGTATGTTAGCTAGTTAGCTGTTCCATAGCGGTATGTTAGCTAGTAAGCTGT